GGGAGCTCAGAGGGGAGCCCATATTTATAGCCTATTGGGAAGAAAGATCAATGGTTGAGGCGCATTGACAACGAATCGACGGTCGAGAAGGCGCCACTACGCGTAGGCAATTTTGAATTTAAATCTTACGCCACCCCTTTCAAATTTAAAATTTGAATTCTGCCATGGTCCTGCCTAATCTCGAACGGGATTGGGTGAGCGAGCCGAGCAACCAACCTGACCAATTACCATATTGAGAACTACTCCCTTCGTCGAGCTGACGCCAGCTCGGGAGTGGGGGCAATTGATGAGGGGTAATTTGGTCCTCCGAATGACATCATGACGCATGGCATCCAATTGACACCTCGGCATTGAGTAAGTAGATCACCTCGACAAGTCGGCTCATAGCACCTCGCATAGGCCAACCTGGAGTACCTCAGCTTGGCCAAGCTAATAGGCCTTTGAACTAGGAGTGACCTACTTCCAAAGTGGCTGAGCTATGAGAAGTACCATAGGCAACCTACAAGGCATGCTCACTGACTTGTCACATAGATTCATTTYCAATCCGGGATCTCTAGAGCATTGATGAGTTGACGTTAGTCCGACCTACCCACACTGCATGAATTAGAGTTAATCAGATGGACCTCAACCCCCACTCAAATTACATAACCGATGTCATTACTCTCCCGACTTAACAGAAACGGCTCCGTGAGAACATGAGACTCATTGCAAGAGGTCTCTGACCACTTACGCCTATATAAAGGGCTCATTTATACCTGAAGAGGTATGTGCAATTAAGCTTTCACACTCTCTAAATCTTCAAGAATTCCTAAGAACTCTTCGCCGACTTAAGCATCGGAGTGCTCACCCCAGGTAAAACAACCTAGGCACTCTAACTCTTTCCCTTGCAGAACAGCACAACTTGGCCAACCCTAGCTCAGGCCAACTCAGCTCGGCCACCGACAAGGAAAGCATCCAATCTGGCGTCCGAGTCATCTGACATGTGAGAGTGAGAGCTGCTAGATTGTGCACTGTCAGTAATTATAACGATCAGGTTGATATTATAAAGTAGTATGAATTGTGATCTACAAATTGGCTTGAACAGTTCAATGGTTTAAACATTTGGACCATGTAGGCTTTAACTAAGTCAAAAGATTATTGTATATTGATGGTTTTAGGATTAAATTGGACAATCTTTGATACATACAAATTCTCAAAATGGGGTTTAGGAGAGACACACAAGAGAGAGCTCAAAAATAATGATTTTGCCACTCTAAAGAATCCACTAAAGATATAAGAGCAAGATAAAYAGAACTTTTTCTTCTAAGAAACCAAAGACTCAGCTACATTCAAACTCATATTCTGAATTGCCAAACTTATAAGACTTGCTTGGAACAACCCCCAAGATAAGTAATTACTAAATAAACTACTTGTAATGAATCACACAATTACATCTGTTCACAGGTTGGGCCTATTCAAATTTTGGAAAAATCCAATCTCGAGCTTGGCCCAAGGTCTAATTACAATTAACAAGATTCATAAACTACTATAAAAAACTTGGACTCAGAAAATAGAGAAAGCATATATGACAAGGGGTAAACTCTATCCTCTTTTCTTTCTGGGTGTGAGGGTTTTGGTCAGTTACCACAAGTGGTTGCTAGGGAGCGAGTGGTTGGTATGGTTGTGGAGCCAGTGCTGGCCAAAATGGTTGGAGTGGAATAGGTGCTAACGATGTGGTAGGCAAGAAAGATGGTGGTTGTAGATAATTGGGATAAGTGGTTGTAATAAAATTAGGCCAAATTTGTCAGTAAGGGGATGAGGAGATAGCATGTACATCACTTTTTGACTTCTTCTCGATGGGAGGCTTCCTAATGAGTACGGGTAAAAATGGATCGAATCATGATCTGATCYGAGATTCAATTCTATTTGGTCGAATTCAAGTTACCCTTGTTCAGATCTTCGAGTCGAATTCAGATCACCCCTATCCGATTCGATATATATTATATATTTAAAATGTGAATATATATATAATACATATATATGTTATTTATTTATAAATATATTTTTTATATTATATTTTTATAAATTTGTTATATTATTTATTTTTTTATAAAAAACATGTATATGTATGATTAAATTAATTAAAAATATTCGTACTTTTGTTTTTATTTTATTTAAATTAGTATATTCTATTTTTCTTTTAATAATTTATTAATTTTTAAAGAAAACAAGTCGGATAAGATCAAATCCGAAGATCCAACTTACTGATAGGATTCTAATTCAAACTGAATCCTATATGATCTTATCAGATCTTCGGATCCAACATGAATAGTATCATATTGGATTCAAATATACCCTTATTCGAATCCGATCCAAACCCTTTGCATCCCTACTAATGAGGGTCTGACCATCTCCCCCAATTATTGCAAATGTCGAGGGATTAATACTCCGTTGCCTTATAGCCTCCTCAATTCTTGTGGCCCCCTAACAACCTCATTGAAATCCTTAAGAGGCTAGCCAATCAACATTGAATAATACTGATCCCATAAAGTTTTTATGAAAGATCTTGCCATTTTCTCCTTAGGCAATGGGAACCTTATCTTCGATGCCATTTCCCTCCATCGATATGCATACTCAAGAAAATTTTCTCCTTCTTTCTATGACAAAGCCTCTAAGTTGACTCAATCAGAAACCAATTCCATGTTAAAGGAATAATGATCCAGAAAGGCCTCAGAAACTTGTTTTCAATACTTCTTCTTTGTAGGGTCCAACATAGTGAATCAGGTTCGAGCATCTCCATTTCCCTCCATCGATATGCATGCTCAAGGAAATTTTATCCTTCTTTCTACGACAATGCCCTATTAGTCACTTAATTAGGAACCAATTTCATGTTAAAGGAGTAAAGATCCAAAAAGGCCTCATAAGCTTGTTTCCAAGACTTCTTTTTTATAGGGTCCAACATAGCAAATCGGGTTCGAGCATCTCCTATCAAAATTTTCTAAAACATTTGGATAAGAAGTTTCTCATTTGACCCATATTGGAACATATCCCCATAGAAGATCTTGAGGTGGGTTTGAGGACATCCTTTTGCATTGTACTTTTCTAATTTGGGTATTTTAAAATTTTCTAGGAGTCTTGCATCAGGGTATAATCATAATTCTCTAAAATATGTGGTGCCTAGGTTATTGGACCCTTTTTAGTTTTTGGATTTTTTCCTTCATTTTCTCCATTTCCTCCTTCATAGGATCACTTGCAATTTGGCTAATTGAGATGTGATGAGGCTAAAAAAATTTGCGATTTGGCTAACTAAGGTGTGATGAAGCTGAAAAGAGTTGCAATTTTGAACTACGGGGCTATGATGGTGTTGAAAGAAGCTATGATTTGAACTTYTGAGTTACAATGGGATTGAATCAATTTGCTATTTGAACTTCTGAGCTGCAATGGAACTGAACTAAGTTGCGATTTGAACTTTTGGGTTGTAATGGGACTGAACTAGGTTACGATTTTGAACAATGTTAGGAATGTCTATTACAGGGCTGATTACTTGATGGGCTTTATCTTACATAAGTCCATTATCCTTTGGTCTTCATAGAGTGGCTGAATCCAATGATCATTTGGTGTAAATGTTGGACCCAAATTGAACCCAAGCTGATTGGGTCAGGGGTTCACTGCTCTTGAACAGTGAACTTGGCCTAACCTCTTCCAAAGGTGGGGCCAAACCCTTATGGACTTGTGTGAGACCTTTGTGGGTTCTATGCCATATAATATTCAGGCCTAAAGTGGTCATGCAACATCTTGGAATGTGAACCATTAAAGGGAATGGGCCAAAGGTCTATTACTAATATGACTAGTTAAGACATCACATGACAACTTATGTGATTTGGATTGAAAATGGGCATGAATTTGGGTATGAAACACCCATTCTCTTAAGAAAATAATGGTTATCAATTAAAGATAAAGTCCGGATCCAAATTTGATTTAGATAAACTCCTAATTAGATTAGGAGAGTGCTCTATATAAGAGACTAAGAGGAGAAGGGCAAATTCACTAGTTCTCTCCAATCTCTTGCTCTCTTCTCTTATCCCTTGCCTCCCAAAAACCCTAATTTGACCCAATTGTGATAGGGACTGATTTCCATCAGTTTTCTACTATGTTTTTGCAATAAAAACATTAGAAGATATCAAATTCACATATCCACATCGATCCAAGCAAATTGGGAACCGGTTTTGCTGAAACAATGTTGCTGAATTGACTTCACGTACATACTACACCATCTTCAGTTGAAGGTCGGTTTTGGGACTGATGTTGAGTGTGAACTATCACCCTAGGAGTTGCACACAGTGGTCTTCATATCAAGTATGATCAGATTTAATTTGGAACTGGAACCGGTTCAGTGCAAGATCGATCCCAAAATTTCAAATTTCAAAATCACTAGAAAATTGGTTTTCGGGTTGGGTTAGAAAAATTTTAAAAATTTGGCCAACCATTTAACCTGCTTCAACCATGTGAAATCTGATTTATAACCTTTCCAATACATTGATCTTTCTTCTTTCTCTCCCTTGCGTCATTTTCCTTCTTCCCATTTTGCATTTCTTTTTCTTTTTTAGTCAATTATATACATTACATTCTATTTGTCCATCATTTCTTTGTTAGATTTCATCGGTTATGAGACTTTTTTTCTTTATGGATTTTGTTATTTCTAATTCTTTTGGAGAAAGTAATTGGGCATTGGACAAATAGATTCATTGATTGGTCGTTATATTATCAACAAGATGGAAGTACATATGGATTATATAAGGATGAAAACAATGAATAATGTCTATTTTGGTTCAGTTTTAAGGTAGGTGACGAAAAACATTGTCTTCAAAATTTGAAGTGTAATTTTGACACTATAAAAAATTTTAAATGACAAATGTGATCACGTGGTACAAATAACTGAGAGGCTGCTAACGGCTGGGATTAAATTGATGGTTTTTAAGAGTTCAGTACATGTTTTGAAGTTAGAATAAACTGAGACTACCCTAAAGTACAGGGCTTTGAATTTTCGCCAAACAAATCTTGCAACCCCAGGTCCAATGCCCCGAGGACACACCCCACCAGCCCCGGGTCGGTCTAGAGACTAGAATCCAATCTTGCGAAGGTACTGAGGCTGCAGCTCTGTTGGTTCGAGACCACCTACATTAAAATCGTGAGGGAAACGAAGAAAGTTCTTCTATTTGTTTGAGAACAGCCTCTGTGAATCCTTCAAATGCACTTTACCCTTTTGTAAACCCGAGGATTTTGATGCAATTTCCTCCATAAAGGTTTCATAGGAATGGAGTCGTCGGAAGAGGTGAGAAATTGGCTTGACTTGCCTGGAGATGTTCTGTCTCTGGTATTTTCGAAGCTCGGCGTCTTTGATGTCCTCTTTAATGTCCAAAATGTCTGTTCTTCCTGGCGAAAATTCTGCAAAGAGCCCCTGGTCTGGCTTGCCATCGATTTGCGATATCCGTGGCCTGATATGGATATTGATCTAGAGAAGGTGGCGAGGCATGCCATTGACAGGAGCTGCGGGCAATTGGTTGAGTTTTCCGTGGATTACATCTGCACTGACGAGCTTTTGCGATACATCACCGAAAGGTAAGATACTCGTCTCTCTCTTATTTCTGCGACCATTTTGTTTTGTTTTGTTTTTTTTTTTTTTTTCTTTTTCAGGGAAGAATATTGGTGTCTGTTCTATGAAATTTCTTTTGTTGGTTTGTTCTGAGGTTGCTTATTTGAAGTTGTGGTTTTTTTTTTTTCTTCTGGAAATTTCATGGAATATTTGGATTTTTTTTTCTTTTTTTTTTGGGGGGGGGGGGTTCGCAGGGTAACTGTGTATCTCATGCTGTTTGAATTGGGTTCTTTGTTTTGTGTTGTTTGCCCAGCATACTCGTCTTGGAAAGTCTGTAGATTGAACTCCATAGCAATCATACCCATTTAATCGTTGAATTCCTTTGGGCAACTGCACTTATCTTTGTCGAGTCTGCAGTAAAAGCCAATTAATGAAACAATATGTACGATCCTAGTTTGCTTTTAGATATATCTTCCATATTCTGGATGGAGGTGAGAGAATAATCGGTTTTGAGCTGTAGGATGGTCTACTTCTTCATTTTGTTTGCTTATGATTTTTTCTTTTTTAACTTTTATTTGCTTCTATGTCTAGGGAGTGGATGTAGTCAATCAAATTTGTCACAAAATTTTGATGCATGTATTGAAGACACTATACTGGTAGAAAGTTCGTAAATTTTGAGAGAGAGAAAAACTAAATAATGAATCTTTGTTTCATTGCAATTTTGGGCAATCTTATTATTGGTTGGAAAAACAGTTGAAAGAAGATTCTTAATTCTACTTGATGGCTGATTGGTAGGATTGCATCTATATTGGTAAAAGAGCCTTATAAATACGATACCTTGGTTATATTTCATATCTTCAACAAATTTACTAATGAACATAACAACCGTAATTTTCCAAAAGAGATAAGATTAGGAAGTTGTTGTGTTGGTAGAAAACATGTAAATTTTGAGAGGGGTAGAAAACGTGTCAGCCTTACTTCAAGGATTGAGACTGGCGAAACAATGGGGAATGCAGCAATTAGAAGTGGAAGGAAACTCCAAACTGGTAATAGGGTGGATGCAATCTGGAAACTTAGGAGTTTGGTCTCTTAGACAGCCTCTAAGAGAGATTATTAGCTTAGAAAGGGAGACTGGGGTGCAATTTAAATTGGTACGGTTAGCAAGTGGAATGACCGACACTTTATCTAAGCAAGGAACTACAGGGGAGACTTTGTTTTGGGCTTGTTTGTAAGATTTTGTTTTGATATTCCATCCATTTTGTGGGTGCTAAATCTGTAATCTTTTCAAATCATCAATGAAAGTTACCGTTTCCTACAAAAAAAAATCAAGGTACAAGTTCCAAGGGGAATGACTAGGATCTTATAGAGAGAATGTGGAGAAGAGTCATGAGAAGGTTAAAATTTCTAAATTTTTTCATGTACCTATTCACTAGATCCTGCAATAGTCCCATAGTTGAATTTTTATTGGTTCTTAGATGGTTGCAATAGCTATTAAAAGAGCTTCAGCTTGAAGAAGATAACAAATAGAAGAACGAGAGAACCCTGGGGATTATTACTTCAAGGGGAAATAGAGCCATTCAAGTATTTCATCTAAATCACTAAATAAAGCATGCTTGCAAGGAAAATTAATGTTCACCTTTCAATTTCTTCATCCATTCCAGTAATAAGATAAAAAGAACAATTTATAGCCTAACAAGAGGGTGGGCCTTGGTGCAACAGTTGGGTTGCTCTATTGTGACTTGGTTGACCTGGGTTCAAATCTTTGAAACAACCTCTCTATATGTGCAGGGGTAAGGCTACGTACATCTGTCCCTCCCTAGACCTCGCATTGACGGGAGTGTTGTGCACTAGGCTGCCCTTTAAGAGTCGAAAATTATTTGATGTGATTACATAAATGCCACTAGAACCCAAAAGAGAATGTCTATAACTTACTATCTACTAAACCTTTGTATGTGAGACTTGAAACTTAACTAAATAATAACCTATTGATAAATTAAAATAACAAATATACCTGTTAAAAGACTGTTATTTATCTAAGTATAGTACTGCAGGGGTACTCTTGTAATTTCCTCTTATTTTTTATGTTCTGTCGCCCTAGTATATATATCAAAAGCTGGCGCCGCCAGCAGCACTTTTGGCTCTTCGTTCTCTCTTCTCTCTTTCTCTCTCACTCTTCTCTCTTCTTTCATTCTTCTAAACATGAGGCTTTCTAGATGGAGGAAATTTATGAAATGCAACTCTACTTTGTTTGCCAGCTAAGCAATGTACACATATTTCAAGAGGCATACCTTTCACATCAGGAAGAAGATTTTCTCTAGAAAGTATTTGAAGCCCTTTTTCACTCAAATGTCCAAGCCTCTAGTGCCAAAGCTCAATGGATGAATCATGAACTGCATTCACCTCTCCTTTGCTCAACCTTTCTTGCATCAAATAAAGGGTATTGTGCTTCTTTCCCTTTGCCACAATGAGTGAGCCCCGACTGAGTTTCCATTTTCCATCACTGAAGGTATTTGCATAACTTTCATCATCTAACCTGCTAGTGAAAATCAGATTTAGGCGGATATCAGGAACATGTCTAGCATTCTTCAAAATTAATTTGCAACCAGTATTGCTATCTAGACAAATGTCTCCCATGCCAACAATCTTGGATGTACCAGCATTACCCATACGAACATGTCCAAGATCACCTGTAGTGTAAGTTGTGAAAAATTCACCATGGGGAGTAACATGAAAAGAAGCACCAGAATCTATGACCCAATCACTGTCTGGGCATGCAAAGTTGACATAATTATCATCACAAACAATAACAACATCACCCTTGGTTGCAACAGCTGTAGTATCTTTTTCTTCTTTCTTGCCTTCACCTTTTCCTTTGGCTTGTTCTCTTTTCCAGACTCTGTATTCATTTTTGTAATGTCCCGGTTTATTACAGTGATGACAAATGATATTTTTCTTGGACCTGGACCTTCCTTTGGTTTTATCATATTTGTTACGGGGACCTCTTCTCTTACTTCTTCCCTGTCTTTCTTTCTTTTCTATTACAAGAGATTGATATTCTGAGCAAGTCCCTTGTTCTTTCCTCCTGGACTCTTCATTCAACAAAGCATCTTTGACTGTGTCAATGGTTACTATACCATTAGGGGCTGAATTACTGACTGAAACCACCAAGGTTTCCCAACTGTCAAGCAAGGAACTAAGTAACAACAAGGCCTGTACTTCATCATCCAGATTCAATTTCATAGTAGTCAATTGATTTATCAAAGCTCGAAAATCACCCAAATGTTCAGACATATTAGTCCCATCTTTATATCTCAAGTGTGCTAGTTTTCTAATCAAAGCAGTCTTGTTTAAACCTGTTTTCCTTTCATACATAGACTTTAATTTTTTCCATAAAACATCAACCCTAGTTTCTTGTGCAACATGGTGAAAAATAGTGGTCGATCCACTGTCGGATTTGGCCTATAGTTTTTCTATGCATGATTCCCCATTCATCACTTGACTTGTCATTTGGCTTTACATCATCACTTCTTATGGGTAGGTACAAATCTTTGCAATAAAGAATGTCCTCCATTCTGGGTTTCCAAATGGCATAATTCGATGAAATCAATTTTATCATAACACCCGAGGATTCCTCCATTTGTATCAATACAAACAATTAATTTCAGCCAACCTGACTTTGATACCACTGTTGGGCAAGTTACACTATAGTAGCAGAAATGAATGTAAAATCAATCTCAGGACAGCAAGAACCTTTCCCCCAAATTTGTGTGTCAAAATGGGTTTACCAACAACAATAATAACAAGTAAACAATTCAGCCAAGTAACAGAAAAACAGATAACAATCACCACACAATAGCACACCAGAATTTTTACGTGAAAAACCCCAAAATTGGGGAAAAACCACAGGACCTATGGTTCGTAAAAGTCTTCCACTAATTCAGAAATTAATGGGTACAATAGTCTTCTCTAGTTGCAACTAGAGGCTTACAAACATCAAGGAAATAATCCTTGGCTCACAAGAACAGCATTAACATCACCAAATGCAAGGTGGATACAACACAAACATAAGTTTAGATATCACCAAGTTGCTGTAAATCTGAACTGAGAAGTAGAGAAAAAGAAGAAGAATCACCAAATCTGAACTAGAGTGGGATTCTTAACTCCAACACTTAATATCATCAAGAACGGGCTTGAAAGGCACCTCCGAACTTGATCTTGAATGGAACAAGAGCCAGCTTTTTCTTCTTCTTCACAAAACTCAAAGAACTAGAAAAAACCTTTTTTTTGGTTTTGAGTTTTTTTTCTTCTTCGTTATTCTCTGTTCAGTGGTTACTAATTTGACGCCAAGGAAAAAAAAACTGAAATGTGGTAACCTTTCTACCACTATTCGGCTCCCTTTTTTTTAGGGAGCAAATAAAGGTGGGGTGGGCCCTTCCATATGGGCTGGACCCACACCCAACAATGCACAACTTGTCACATAAGTCATTATCCTGCAAGTGGTGTAGGCCCTTTGAGAAGATGTCCGCAAGCTGCTCTTTGGAACTGATATAGGGAATACAATTGTACATACTTCCCCACTAACAAGTTCCTCCTTGATAAAGTGTTTGTCCACCTCAATATGCTTGGTTCTATTATGGAGAATTGGTTTGCTTGCAATGTTGATGGCAGCCTTGTTATCACAATATAAGGACATGGGAGATGGGACTATCAATTGTAAATCCCAACTCACTCAACAAATTTTTTATCCACATAATCTCAGCTATTGCATGAGACATTACCCTATACTCAACTTCAATACTTGACCTAGCCATAGCATTTTGTTTCTTGCTTCTCCATGTGACTAGGTTCCCTCCCACAAAGGTGCAGTAACCTGGTGTTTTTTTTGTCATCAACTGATCCTGCCCAATCAACATTTGTATACACTTCAACCTTTAAATGCCAATGCTTCTGGAACAACAAACTAGCCCTTAAGTATTTCTTGAGATATTTGAAGATTCTCTTAGTTGCTTCTAAGTGAGTGGTCTTA